TGAGTGACCTTGGGCAACTGGCAAACTTCCTCTGAGAAAATATTACTGAGAAAACCCTACCATAGGGTTGTCATAAGAGTCAACTTGAAGATACATAACAAAAAATAAAATAAAATAAAAATAACAAAAACCTGGATGGCCATCTGTCTAGAGTACTTTGATTGTATGTTCCTGCATGGCAGTGGGTTAGGTTTATGGCACTTGCGTCTCTTTCAACTGTATGATTCTATGATAACTGTGATGTCTCGGCACCATGTATAGGAGCCTATGGTTGTTTCTAAATGGTGGACCTCTAGTGCTGGCAATCAAAAAACACAGTGGACATCTCACTTCTTAGTGAATGTTTGTAGTAGAAGAAAATACAAGATGCAGCAGTGGTAAAGCACAAGGTACAAATGCAGACAAGATCACATGGATCTCCTTGTAAAATTCACCAAATGTGGCATGATGATTGCATAATAAAGGTTTCATTTAGAGCTAAATTTAAGATGTATCCTATGTGCAGACCTCCATTGCTAGAATGGGACAAATATTTTTAGAAGCAGAGAATATGTATTGACAGTAATTATTTCTGACTCAAAATACCATAAGTCCCCCACGATATTCTTGCAAATAAGATAGTAAAATGTGGGCTAGACAATACAACTGTTAGGTGGATTAGTAACTGGTTGACTGACCGAACCCAAAGGGTGCTCAGCAGTGGCTCCTCTTCATCCTGGAGAGAAGTGACCAGTGGGGTGCCACAGGGTTCTGTCCTTGGGTCCAGTGCTATTCAACATCTTTATCAGTGATTTGAATGAAGGAACAGGGGGCATGCTTCTTAAATTTGCAGATGACACAAAATTAGGAGGAATAGCTAATACCTCAGAAGACAGGATGAAAATTCAAAATGACCTTAATAGATTAGAAATCTGGGCCAAAGCTAACAAAATGAATTTCAACACAAAGAAATGTAAGGTACTGCACATAGGACAAAAAAATGAAATGCATAGATATAAGATGGGAAATACCTGGTTTAACGAGACTATGTGTGAAAGGGATCTAGGAGTCCTAGTAGACCACAAGTTGAACATGAGTCAACAGTGTGATGCCGCAGCTAAAAAGGCCAATGCAATTTTAGGCTTTATTAATAGAAGTATAGTATCTAGATCAGGGGTAGGCAACCTTTTTGAGCCGGGGGCCAGGTTGCTGTCCCTCAGACAATTGATGGGCCGAAGCACCAAAAATAAATAAATAAATAAATAAATTAAAATTAAAATTAAAATTAAAAAAGAAAAAATTAAAACAAAAATGCATGCACACTCTCTCAGCCCCAGAAAAGCCATGGCAAAACCCCTGTGAAGATTTTGCCAAGAAAACCCCAAGAACAAGTAATAACAACAATAATCAATATCATAATGGGAGGGCGGCGGCGGTGGGGGGGTGGCGGCGGCAGGACCGGTTTGGGGCCGGTCCAAAGGCCTTGCTGGGCTGCATCCGGCCCCCGGGCCTTAGGTTGCCTACCCCTGATCTAGATCAAGGGAAGTAATAGTGCCATTGTATTCTGCTTTGGTCAGGCCCCACCTGGAATACTGTGTCCAGTTCTGGGTACCACAATTCAAAAAGGGTGCCCAGAAACTGGAGTGTGTCCAGATGAGGGCAACTAAAATGGTGAATGGTCTGGAAACCATGCCCTACAAGGAACAACTT